ATTAGTTAGTTTATCATTGTAACAAAATGTGTCCATATATCACGTCTCTTCTTTCTCACGAGCCCCGTGCAAAGCATGTTTTACTTTTAACCTGTCGCCGCCGCCTCACCGTGAATCCAGCTCCTGTCTGCTCCATGTGTTGTGTAGGCTACTCTGACTGACTGTGCCCGCCCGCTCCAGGTTTGAAAGTGGGTGTGTGGCAGAAGAGCTGACGAGGAGGAGGCGGAGGAGGAGACAGGATTTGACAAAACCATATCATATAATAATATGTAATTTTCGTCTCGTCTTTGTTCGTGAACTAAAATGTCCATAGATTTTAGCCCAGTCTTTATTTACCGAACTGCATTTTCGTCTCGTCTTTATTAGTCTACGAAAATTATTTCTGATTTACTCCCAGTTATTGTTTATTAGTGGGGATTTTAGTCTTGTCTCGTCTAGTTTTCGTTCGGTGAAAAATGTGCGTTGACGAAAATATTTTCGTTTAGTTTTCGTTAACGAAATTAACACTACTGCGCATGACAAATTGTAATAAAATTACTTTTAACACCACCTACTATGTGGCCTTTTTACGCTAAACTGATCATATTTTTTAAACTCTAAGTAAATTCAGTAAAAAAAAAAAGGATTTCTCTAAGTAATTAAAAGTAAATTAGGTAATCAACCCTCACTGGTCTCAGTCTCGACTCGGACTCGACCGTCTCTGGTCTCGGACTCGACTCGGACTCGACTCTCTCTGGTCTCGGTGTCGACTCGGACTCGAGTGAGGTGGTCTCGACTACAACACTGCTTTGTGGAGTGGAAGCACTTGATGCTGGGCGTTTGTCTGTCTCTCTCTTTTTTGCATGCTTCTTTGGTACAAACAGCTCCTGTTGCTGAGTTGACTCTGAAGGGAAATCGATCCAATTGTGAAAAGACCAAGTGTAAATGCATCCGAGCCATCACTCAAACCTCTTCATGAGGTGATCTGAGATAAAACTGGTATAAATGCATTTGGTTGTTGAAACCACGAATGTGTATTTCACTCATGTACGTTTGAGAGCGTGTTATAGGCGATTTCCAATGTGAATAACTGGAAACGCATCATCACAGTCTGTGAAAGGGGTCTGTTGAAACGTTTTTGCTGTAACTTTTTTTAAATGCATTTTCATTTCAGTTCAGCATTGATTTGTTTCAACCGGTGTTCTGACATTCCATCCTACCCGTCAGATTGTCCTACCAAGTCTTACTGCGCATGCGCACATCAATAATACGTCATTTTTGTCACGCTGAACAACACGCCCATAATATTTTACTACTTGCGCGAGATCTTTTTTCACTATTTATGTCAATTATTACTATACAAAGATATAATAGCAGTAATGAGAACTGTTTACTCTCACATTAAATTGATGAATTGGCGGCGAATTGATTTGATTGTTTGGTGTAAAATATAAACACACACACGATTATACTACTCGTTTATTTCATACTGGTAGGACAATCTGATGAGGCATTTTGCACTGTAAAATCATACTACTCGTTTATTTCATACTGGTAGGACAATCTGATGAGGCATTTTGCACTGTAAAATCATACTACTCGTTTATTTCATACTGGTAGGACAATCTGATGAGGCATTTTGCACTGTAAAATCATACTACTCGTTTATTTCATACTGGTAGCACAATCTGATGAGGTATTTTGCAACGTAAAATCATCCTACCGTTTATTTCATAGGACAATCTGAAGAGGTAACTTACTTTTCACTGTAAAATCACCGTAACATAGCCTAATAAGAAAATTCGGCAAAGTTACACTGAAATATTTTATGTACTAGTCACAGACGCGAAGCAGAAACGCTCAGTAGGATTTTACGACGAGGTAGGATGAACCGATAGATATGGCTATAATTTTGCGCTACGGTAGGAAAATCTGACAAGGTAGGACAGATCGACAGAACACCGGTAATCTGTAGTTGCAGAGATTTGCTTAAGGTTTTCTGAAAGTTCACCACTACCGGTGAAGAGCTAGACATTTGCCACGAATTAACTTTGTGTTTGATTGAAGCAGTTTTAGGACAGGGGAGATGTAGTTGACTGTGGCCGACAAAGCCTGGAGGAATCTAGCCGCCCCCCTCCCCCCCTCTCTCTCTGTGTGTGTGTGTGTGTGTGTGTGTGTGGTGGTGGAGGGGGGGACACTGGGACCAGCCGGTGACCTCAGTCCGAAAGAATGTCCCCGTTTACTCAGACCTCTCTCTCTCTTTATTTGTGTTCAGTTTCTGGTCCTCCCCAGACATTTGTCAGCTCAAGAAATCTCAGTGATCTCAGCGTCGTTTGTTGTGTTTACACACGTCCACATCTGACTTTGCAATCTCATTAAAAAAAAACTAATTCTCTGAACCATTTACACCTTTTTATTGTATTTTCTTTTATTGTTCTTGACCAAAACTGCACTCATGCTAGAGTGATCTGGATGGTTGCTAGTAGAGATGAAACAGTATGAAAATATCATATCATGATTATAGTGACCAAAATGATCAATTTTATCACAGCATTTTTAAAATGTGCATGAAATTTTCAAAAAGTACTGTGTTGAAAACCAACAATGAACACATAAAATTAGCAGCACTATGCACTTTTTTTTGCATAAAATTTTTAATATCAAAAACGATTGGTTGGATGACTTACAACTTAACATGTTATCTAAATGTTCAAATAAAGTAGTATATGTTCCAGCATGTGTTTGCACCCCTAATTGAAAATCTCTCCTCACGTCTGTGTGTGAATCGCGCTTCATCACTCTGAATCAGGTCGGGTGTTCGTTCCTCTGTCGGGCCGCTGGCTGTTTGAATGTGGCGAGTGCATAAATTTTGCGATGGTGAAAAGAAACGAGATGTCCGCTTGAGCGCTGTAAATTAAGGGACGGGGAAAGGGGTCAGTCTGATTTATGTGTGTGTGTGTGTGAGAGAGAGAGAGACAATGATGAGTGTTTCGTGTTTTCTGTGTGTGTTTGAATACAGACGCTCAGTCAGACTAGCAGCATAAAGTCAGATCGCTTCTTCTGTCCAAGAAACGGCCATTTCGACAGAAACCGTCTGACCAAGCACAGTTTGCATTTGTGTTCAGGCTGGTATAAACCTGTGCACTCGATTAAAACGAACCCTGGCGCGATTGCTCTGTTAGTGCGGTGGTTCATTCGAATAAATGTGAACTAGAGCCCGACCGATAAAGGATTCTGAAGGCCGATACCGATACAAATATTTGTTGGTTTTAAAATCCGATATATCGGCCGATATTTTTTATTTTATTTTTTCCAGGAACGCACAACAAATCATTAACAGATTTCCCTAACATTAGTTATTTGTAGTTATGTATGAGTTTCAATTAAAATAATATGATAATGCATTTTAAAAAGAAATTTGTTTCTTTTATTGTCGCAACAGAACAGAGGAGGAACCAAAGCTCATTAATTAATTAATTAACAAAGCTCATTAAATTCCTCTGATGATCGTGGCCTTAGCCAGCTTTGTGGTCAGCTAGAATGTGTTGCGCGTTATAAACGAGTGTTGCCAACAGGCCAGGGACGGTGTAGAGTGCCCTCTGGTGGACAAACTTATACAACTCCAACATGACATGGTTGAAGTGTGTTTCATCCATTTTTATTTTATTTTTTAAATATTCATTTATCGGCTATTATAACTGCCGATACCGATAGTTTGTAAAATGCCTAATATCGGCCTGCCGATATATCGGTCTGGCTCTAATGTGAACCAACTTCCAAACGAACTCTGGAGCGGTTCGAATGAAATCTGAACGCCACACGGACCAAATTTTGGCCGATAACTGATAATTCTTTATATTTGAAAGTCGATAATTGATAAATTCTGCTCTAAATCCAAATTTTATATCATTTTTGAGAGCCTGATAAGTCTCACTATTAAAATCCATGTACCAAACACACAATTTATAATGTTCTCACTATAATTTTATTAGTATATTGCCTATATGACAGACTTGCACTGCACATGTTTCCAATCATATTTCAAACAATTCAAATCCATCATGTTGAACAGTGCGCATCTGAAGCATCTCAGCCGAAGGAAATAATCCATAATGTATTGGCTGATACCGATTTGGAGGCCGATATATCACGCATGTAAACGAACCAAAAACAGGACGTGATGTCACAAGGTGCAACACTTTAAGGACCTGTTTTTCTCGTCAGTAGTCGTTCAGTTCGGGCGTCAGAACCACGTCTCCTCGCCGCAGATCTTCGGTTGTGTGTGTCGGAGGTGTTCCTGATGCTGGTTTGACTCCTGTACACATTTTATAAGCTCTTCATGAGTTCTCAGCTGGGCTAAATACCATCATATGTAGGTTAAACACGCACAACGAGCACATTTAACCCTGAACACAGCATTGTTTGGGAAATATACGTAATAAAAGCCAACCAATCAGGTTTTGTTTATTGGTTTATTATTTAATAGGGACCATGCATATTCATGAACATAGTCGTAAAAAAAAAAAATAGAAAAAATAACTACTTTTCATCTGCAGTACCAACAATCTCACAACAACAAAACAATAAAACAAACAACAAATGAAAAATGCATTATGACAAAGACATTGTTCATCCACCTCTAAACTGCATTGAATTTAACAGTGAAAGTTTATGGGTGATAAATAAATATACGTATATCCCATGCTTTTAGGTTTGACCAGAACTAAATGTTTTTTGGTCCAGACCAAAGTGTGCACACACCCCAAGAAGCATTTGTGTGCATTACACATCCGGCGCTGGTGGTTTTGTGTTGTGGGAATGAACACAGCTGTCCACTTAACATGCATCAAAGATAAAAACACCATCATTTGATGTTTGCCAATTAAAAATAATTGCTTGTTTGTTGTGGAAGCTGTTTGTAAATGCACGGCATGAAGACACATGGAGTCAACACTTTATGCAGCGTGTAAGATGAAACTTATTTGAAATATCAGCGTCATTTTGTGTTTATTTTTTTACAGGACGCCGACTACGAGGAAAGGCTTTCTATAATGTAAATGGAAAGGTGTACTGTGAAGAGGACTTCCTGGTGAGTATGAGTAAAAAATGTTCAGGTCAATATGTTTTTTTTTGGTAACACTATTTAAAGGTGACGTGTTTACCCCTTTCTACATGTACTAACTATAGTAATAACAGTATATTATGCACAATTACCCTAACTCAATAGTAAGTACATGTAGATAATAATATTACTTTGTATTTAAGTATGATGTAACTACGTCACCTTAAAATAAAGGGTAAACAAATTTTTCTTATGTTTTGGAATTCTCTTATGCTCTTAAGGCTATATTTATTTAATCAAAGATAAATGATAAATATATATAATTTTATAAATGATAAAAGCTGAATTTTCAGGATCATTACTCCAATCTTCAGTGTCACATGATCCTTCAGAAATCACTCTAATATGAGGATTTGCTGATCAATAAACATTTATGATTATTAATGTTGAAAACCTATTTGCTATTTGTATGGAAACTTTGATGAATAGAAAGCCCAAAGGATCAGCTTTTATTTGAAAATATAAATTCAATATATTTATTATACTGTTGTCGTTTTTTCGTCTTAACTTTTTATTTAATTCAATGCATCATTGCTAAATATGTTGCCTGATGTTTCCTGAGGTATTTTTTTAAATACATATTTTTTAGGCCGATCAAACGATTAATATCGATTAATCCAAAATAAAAGTTTGTGTTTGCATAATATATGTGGGTGCACTGTGTATAATTATTTTATATATAAATACACACACATGCTTGTATATATTTAAGAAATATTTTCATGTATATATATTTACATATAATTTATACTATATATAAATATAAATATTTGATATATAATTTTTTTTTTCTTAAATATACATGTGTGTGTGAGTGTATTTATATATACACAAAATAATTATACACAGTGCACCCACATATATTATGTAAACACAAACTTTTATTTTGGATGCGATTAATCGTTTGAGAGCCCTACTATTTTTCCAAGAACATGGATATCATTTAATGCAATGATCCCCCCCATCAACTTTTTTGTGCCTAATTTTTGCCATTGCTATAGAAATCATAAATGTTTAACACAAACACAACTCAAGCTTTTAATCTCATAATTACAGTAATTCTGACACAATGTGACGCATTAATCCATTAAAAGAAAGCAGGCCGTGTCTGTCCCCGTCACAGATTGTTCTGCTATTGTTGATGCTCGTTTTAATGCGCTTGTGTAGAACCTGTTCTCCTTGAAGTCGTGCTGTCGGGTTAGGGTTACACCAGCTGTAGTGTCCCAACAAAAACACTGCACCGCCCCATTTAATTGAATGTTTCCTGAGAGGGAGGTGGAGAGCAGGGCTGTATTGATTAGCACTCATTAGTGGATAGATGAATGTCGAAGTCTCTTGGGAGAGCAGATGCTGCATGCTCCCACCTCCCCAATTCACACACACACACACACACACACACACGTCAGGAGAGCAGATCCATCATGCAGGACTCAACTTCCTGTCTTAAATCTGCTTCGATATTCGATATGTGACAGTCCTGATTATATGGGCAGATGATGTACATTGGCCAGGACAATCATTTGGTCAATATTTTGATAGATTTATTTATTTAAATTAAAATGTATTGACACCCTTTAGATTAGAGTCCAATTTTAACTATGTAAATATATTTAAGAATATCTATGTAAATATATTTTATATATATATTTTATTATTGTTATTTTTATATATATATATATATATATTGGTGGCTGTTGGCCACGTAGCACAGATATCATCATTGCTATTAGAGGTGGGTGCTATACCGTTATCAACGTGACTATTTAGCGATACCGAGAATAATTTTTCTAGAATATTTTTTTTTTAAAGAATAATTTTTTTCTAACAATTTTTTCCCCCTCATATCGCAATATAATATCAATATCATCCGGACAGTGAAAAATATTGTGATAAAAATATCGCCCACCCCTACTTAGTATCATCCATTGATAAAAAAACACACTAGTCGACCCCTTAATAGATTGGTGATTGCCCCCAAACAGCACTTCTGCTGACGTGACTGACTGCGGATCAGCCTCCGGGGGTCGGGCAGATGGTCTGTCTGATGGGACGGGGTGGGTGGGTCCCAGTATTGATCAGTCCCTCCCAACCCCACCTGCTGGTCCTCCGCGCGCCACAATTAACACACAAACACCAAAGAAAAGCATGCAGGCGAGCAGTGATGTCATCAGTAGGGAATGAGCCGAGTTCCATCGTTAAAACGTGGCCTTTGGTTCCTTCAATAGAATCCGAAGATCTTGTGTGGCCTTTGCCACTCATTTCCATAGAGTTCATGTTTGAGAACATCTTTACTCTAATGGCTGCGCTCCAAACCCCTGTAACCCTGGTAACCAGGTCAGAACCCTTCTCCGAGACAGATGGCTCCCCTCGGGGTCGAGTCTGTGTTTCAGACGCATGCAACCTGTGTGCGCACCATTAAGAGCCCCTGAAGACTTTACTCGAGACTAGATGTTTTTAATCTCGGGATAGGCTTTTAGAGGCCTAAGCCATCGTGCTGAAGACGAGGAACCTCTCTGGTGCCCTTCAGATCCACACGCGCAGTGGCCATCACTGTAGTCCGGTGAGATCATCTGCTCAGGAGTCGTGCCGATCATCATCTGGGGTTTAATCAGATGCAGAGAGAGAGAGAGAGACAGTGAGCATAGACAGAGAGAGAGAGAGAGCGCCCCCTTCAGACCAGTTCAATAAATCGATGATCCTCATTGATTTGTGGACGCTATTGGAATTAGATATTTTGTGCATTTTGGAAGTTGACATGAAAGGTGGAGGAGTGTGATATGCTATATTTTAGTGTATATTATTATACATTTATTTAGTTCGTTATTTATTAAATATAATGTTATTTTAAATATGTTTTGTGCAATATTTTATTTTATATTATTATATATTTATTTAGTTCATTATGTATTAAATATAATGTTATTTTAATGTTTTGTGTAATATTTATTTTTATATTTTACTCATACATTTTCTTATTATATATTTATTAGGGCTGTCAAATAATTAATCATGATTAATCGCATCCAAAATAGAAGTTTGTTTTTACATAATATATGTGGGTGCACTGTGTATAATTATATATATATATATATATATATATATATATATACACACATGCATGTATATTTAAGAAAAAAATATTATTTATATATAAAATGTTTATATTTATATATAATATAAATTATATATAAATCTATATACAGTACATACATGAAAATATTTCTTAAATATATACAAGCATGTGTGTGTATTTATATATAAAATAATTATCCACAGTGCACCCACATATATTATGTAAACACAAACTTTTATTTTGGATGCGATTAATCATTTGACAGCCCTAATATTTATATAAATATATGTATAATATTCTATTTATTTCTAGTATTATACATTTATATTATTTAGTGTATATTTACATTTAATCAGTTGGCAGATGCTTTAATCCGAAGCGAACTTATAAATGAGGAATACAACAAACGAGGCATCTTATGACATGAAACATGAAGCAGAGTGACATGCTGTAATTTCTCATTAACTAGTTTAAACATTCTTCTGTGATTGCTATACATGCAGATTTTCTCATAAACATTAATTATTTGTACTTTTAAATCTATTTGGCACACAATGTTCATAATTTGAGAAAAACTGAACCTGTTAATTTAACCTGATACCTTCATGTTGATGAGATATATTTATTTGTATTAAAAAATATTATAATTATTTTCTACTTGCATAATATTTATATCACATGCCTGTGCCATTTTAGAATATTAATAAATAGATAAATAAAATATCTCAACCAAATCTTCTTAATAAACATCTAAATGATTGTGCACTTGAAAAATGTATTCACAAACATTTGGAAGCATTTGGATCTGATTACAGTGTAAATGTGTACCTTGAAAATGCAATGTAATCACTTTAGATTAAAGCATCTGCCAAATGCATAAATGTAAATGTTTAAAAGTTTGGAGCAAAAAAATGTGTTCAGCAAGGATGCATTAAATGGTTCATTGCCCTGTAGTTTGTTGCTGATCAAACATGATGTTGCATGTTCGCTGTGGTGTTTTCTTCATAGTACTCCGGGTTCCAGCAGACAGCGGAGAAGTGCTTTGTGTGTGGACACCTCATCATGGAGATGGTATGGTTTCATTATTACTAGTGCTCTAGTTTATCAGAGGAAGGATCTCTTGTCATTTAGATTTTTTTTAGCAATATAGTGACATAACAAAGGCAAAACTAGCCTCTCCCTATGGAGGATCCCTATTTCACTCTACAGATAAAGCGTTGTGAAATTTCGGTTCGTGTACGTGATAAAATAAAACTGTTTCAAATTTATAGGCAAGACAAGTAATTTGTTTTGGCATGGTTTGTAGGGAATTACAAACTTGCGCACATAACTATAGAATCAATTCTTAAAGGAGTAGTTCACTTAAAAAAAAAAAACTTTAGCTGATAATTTACTCACCCCCATGTCATCCAAGATGTCCATGTCTTTCTTTCTTCAGTCGAAAAGAAATTAAGGTTTTTGATGAAAACATTCCAGGATTTTTTTTCATATAATGGACTTCAATGGGGTCCAAACGGTTCAAGGTCCAAAAGACAGTTTCTAAGGGTCTTATCAAGCGAAACGATCGCTCATTTAATAAATAAATAACAAAGTTTAAGTTTTATAAGCTCAAATGGTCGTCTTGCTCTGTTCTGTGATGAGCGTTTGTGACTCTCCTGTTCGAACTCGTTCATCAAAATGAATGAATCTTTTTCCGTGTCAATTCGTTCATTTCTCTGGACGAGTTCCAGAGAAGTTGATTGAGAAGCAAGGCGAGCATTTGAGCTTATAAAACTAAAACTTTGTTATTCATTTATTAAATGAGCGATCGTTTCGCTTGATAAAACCCTTAGAAACTGTCTATTGGACCTTGAACCGTTTGGACCCCATTGATGTCCATTATATGGAGAAAAATCCTGAAATGTTTTCATCAAAAACCTTAATTTCTTTTCGACTGAAGAAAGAAACACATGGACATCTTGGATGACATGGGGGTGAGTAAATTATCAGCAAAAGTTTTTTTTTTTTTTTAAGTGAACTACTCCTTTAATGCGCATGTGAACGCCATCAGCGTTTATCACAGGTTCAGTTTAAAGTCTGTTTAGAGAGAACGGTGTCGTCTTAACCCTAATTTAATAACAAATGATCATTTCGACGGAAGTGAATCGATCAAAACTAACTTTAGCTGGAAAATAACATTATTCAAGAACCGCTATAAAACCAAACCAATCTCTGTTTCCTTAAATTATATGTTTATCTCTGTAAAGCTGCTTTAGACAATCTACATTGTTAAAAGCGCTATATAAATGAGTATGACTTGACTTGATTTGGCAATAAGAAGCATTTGATTTTTAACAACACAAATCAATCGGAGTGGGAAGATGTGTGACTTATTTAGACCCACCCGGTCTGTTACAGTTAAAGGAGTTAAAATTAGTTTTACCGTCTTAAATAAATGTGGAACCAAAGATGGATTATCAAAGCGATATAATCTCTCGAAATACTCCGGCTCAGTGATGTGTGTCTATACTTGGATGCAGAAATGCTGTTATTGTGCCTCATTAGTGCTGCATCACCTCATGTGTGTGTGTTTGTGTGTGTGTTGTAGATCCTGCAGGCTCTGGGAAAGTCGTATCATCCAGGCTGTTTCCGCTGTGTTGTGTGTAAGGAGGGTCTGGACGGCGTTCCTTTCACCGTGGACGTGGAAAACAACATCTACTGTGTGAAAGACTACCACACGTGAGTGATTTCCTCACGTCACCCCGTTTTATATTTCATAGCCAAGGTGTTTTTGTATAATAATGAATATTCGTAACATCTAGCGTTATTATAAAGTGCTACAGTCACGTTCCGGAAGTAAAAACTCCACTCATGTTCTCCATAGAGAAATTGATTTTGAGGAATCATTTCTTAACCGTTTCTTCCCAAATCAATATTTCATGTGGTGAAAAGCTTCAAAAGTGCAATATTACTTAAATGTCCGTCTTGTTCTAACTTGTTCCTTCATCTAGGCTCAAAGCTGCTTGCTTTCTTAGCGGAAGATCCATAAGCGAGATATTGTACATCCAGAGTCCGGGATTTATTTTGCGAAAACATAATGTGGTTTTATGTGTCTTCATCTTCACAGGGTTTTTGCTCCTAAATGTGCCTCGTGTAACCAGCCGATCCTCCCAGCACAGGTACGAGAGTTTGAATACAGTAACCCTGACTGGGGATTGAGGTCACGCTTCAGGACAGAGGTTAACTAGCTGTGTGTGTGTGTGTGTGTAGGGTTCAGAGGAGACCGTACGGGTGGTGTCCATGGATAAAGATTACCATGTGGAATGCTATCACTGTGAGGTAATTCAGACTCGTTCATAAGTCAGTGGTTATTGCTGCTTGTACTGTGATTGGCTCAGAGGTAAATGGGGTCATGTTTACACTCCTGGACAATGCTCCGGAGTTATGCAAGATGTGTTTTGTTTGTATTAGGCCCCGGCTCGGGTATAAATGTGCATTAATGTTGTGAATCATTGACTGATGGCATTCAGCTAAACTTTGAATCTGTGAGGTAGTGTTCACTTAAACATGTTTCTCAAAGAGTCAAACATCTCACTTATTAATTATTGAAATCTCAGTTTTTCTGCCTAAGAAAGCAATTTTTTTTATCTTAATATTTTATTAACATATAATTTTATTTATATTTTGAATGATATTCAAGTAATTTTCTGAATTTAGCAACCAAAAAAAAAAAAAAACTGTCAATGAGCAGTTGATTATTATATACATTAATATAATATATTTTTTTAGTGATTAAAATTAATATTATATCAAATAAATTGAATTTAGGTTATATATTTAATATAAAAAATGAACCGTGTATGTATATACTTATAATTATTGTTATATATTGTTATATTTATTTACCAGAAATTTATTTTTTTATTCAAATTGAATGTAATTATTTTTATTATTTGAATTAGTAAAATTAATATTAACTATATTATATATATAATTATAATATATTTCTGGTAAATAAATATAACTATAACAATAATTATATTAAAATTGAATAAAAATATATATATGGTAAATAAATGTAACAATATATAACAATAATTATAATTAGATATATACCAGAAAAATATATTTTTATTCAAATTTAATATAATCATTTTTATTATTTGTATTAGTAAAATTAATATTACATATATTAAATTTGAATACAATATATATTTCTGGTAAATAAATATAACAATATAGAACAATAACTATAATTAGATATATACCAGAAAAATATATTTTTATTCAAATTTAATATAATCATTTTTATTATTTGTATTTGTAAAATTAATATATTAAATTTGAATAAAAATATAGATTTCTGGTAAATAAATATAAAAATATAGAACAATAATTATATTACATTTGAATAAAAATATATATCTGGTAAATAAATATAACAATATATAACAGAAATATATATTTTTATTCAAATTTAATGTATTATTTGTATTAGTAAAATTTATATTAAATATATTAAACAATAGAAATGTAATATTACTTTTGTTAATAATTATAAAAAATTATAATTAAAAATACCGTGTGTGTGCTTATATTCAATTGATTACTTTTACATCACTTATCATTTCCTTATCACGAAAATATGTTTTCCCATTCACAATTGAAACAAAATTGTCACGTTGACAGGGTTGAGATTGGGTTAATGGGTTGAAGGCCTTGTCAAAACATTAAATCCATATTTGTTTTTCACGGTCATTTATTTACAATCCAAACCGCACTTCTGGATTTCTTCCTCTTGCTCTGGATTTCCCCAGTTGGCTTGCAGAAGGAAATTAATTTCCATCTAAAAAGGAAGCGTTGTTCATTAAATGATTTACAGTGTAGGTCCTATTTACAGTGGTAATGATGATGATGATGATTCACTGTATTGTGATGCATGAAAAGGCCTTTTATTGGGCCTGACTTCCTTTCTATCAAACATGCTAAGACGATAAGATGTGTCTTGCAGGATTGTGGTCTTCAGTTGAATGATGAAGAGGGGCATCGCTGTTACCCGCTGGAGGGGCACCTGTTGTGCCACCGATGCCATCTGCACCGCTTAAAGACCCCTGTGCCAACACACCCGCCCCCGAGCTACCCGCTACACGTCACTGAACTGTGAACACACACGGGCTCGCGCCGAAGATCAGTGGTGGAACGACAAGCAAGAGGGTCATTGCATTCCCCCAAACAATAAACAGGGAAATCGGTCTACATATTTCCACTTGTTTGGGGTTTATATGACCAACCAGGGAGGTTTTTATTATTGCTTTCATCCCTCATCACACTCTTCCTCTCACGCTCCGGTCTGGTTCGCTGTTTGGAGGGGTCGTGACCCAGCACTGCCACATGGGACGTGTCCTCTGAATGCCACACAACAGCACTGAACACACTTACGACTTCTTGTGCCTTCATCGAGTATCCCGTCACCTCGCTCACTGCCTTCGACATGCACCGTTTCTGTTTGCGTGTGTGTTGTGCCAAGCTGCCCGCGTCTTTAAAGGGACAGGTCACTAAAATCGAAAATTGCATTGATCATTTATTCACCGTCGTTTCTTCAAACCAGAATGACTTTTATTTATTGAAATGCCTTTTTAAGCCAAGACACAATTAATCATGCACTGGTTAATTTTGAGGCTCTTTTGTGTCCAGAACATGTTTTTATCCAGTGTTTATGTAATTACACGTCTATGGATTTCAGTTACAGCACAATTGAGACGATGACTAAATAACTAGAAATTTGAACCAATGTTCAGATTTCTGTTCTGGAAATGTATGCATATTTAATTAGATCATGCCTAATTTGCATATTCATAAAACGTGTAATTCAGAACTATTGTTTCAGATTACTGTGATTAATCAGCTGGGGAATTATAGTGATATCTGTTAGCTGATATTTTACCCGGAGGTGTCTTGTACGGTTTTGGAACGAGTGAATAATAGTGAACTGTCCCTTTAAGCATCGATTACATGCCTAAACTAGTGGCGGCAGTGGGCCGAACACTGATCAAATCATCTTGTGAAACCTGCTGCATATAGCAGGACTAACAAATGTATATTTTGCAGAAGTCTGACTTTTGACGTTACGACCCGACACCAGCACAATGGGGTTGGATCCATGAACTCTTACGTCGTGCTCTTCAGACACTGGTTTGTCTCCGGATGAGGTGCCTTTCTGCCTTACATGTTCCTTACCGTGGAGGAGACGCACTGTAACGTGTCTCTGGAGACTCTGAAGGGACTCTGATGTGTGCCAGGGTCAAAGGTCAAGCCTGGATGTGCTGGACTCAACCAGGCCTGCATTTGTCCTGCAGTCAATGTTTGTGTGTGTGTGACCCGCTGTCCAAACCAGCCGCGATGCAATCAAGCCACGAGCAACAGAACATTTTGCACATGTCAGAATAATAAAGTCATGAACGTAGAAGTCTGGGAATGATGTAATGATTAAAACTAGATTGAGTAGATTCACATGAATGATAATTAGAAGCTTATTGCATTGCATCTGGTTAGGACGTGTTGTGAGTGTGTTCGTCTGTGTGTGTAGTTGTGTATGTGTTCATGCACACTAGTGGCTGGGCCGCTGTGAGTGTGTGTGTGTTCCATATACAGTGACCCTGATAAGTATTTACACACTTTAAAACATCTGAATGTCATTACGCTCTTAGAAAACAAAGTTCTTCTTGACTCACCTTTAAAGAACCCTTTATACCAATAAGGTGCGAAATGTCTTAAAGGAGTAGTTCACTTTTAAAAAAACGTTTGCTGATAATTTACTCGCCCCCGTGTCATCTAAGATGTCCATGTCTTTCTTTCTTCAGTCGAAAAGAAATTTAGGTTTTTGATGAAAACATTCCTGGATTTTTCTCCATATAATGGACTTCAATGGGAACCAAACGGTTCAAGGTCCAAATGAGAGTTTCAGTGCAAACTACAAACTGTTCAAAGGGCTTTAAACGATTTCAGACGATGAATAAGGGTCTATCAAGCGAAACAATCTCTCATTTAATAAATAATTTTTATAAGCTCAAATTGTCGCCTTGCTCTGTTCTGTGATGAGCACTCGTGACTCTCCTGTTCGAACTCGTTCATCAAAATGAACGAATCTTTTCCTGAGTCAATTAGTTCATTTCGTTTTTCGATGTCTATAACATCTTGTTTATCATCTCTTAATATATCTTGGGAAAATTCACTAGTTTAGTGCAGAAAAAATAACGATTTATAATGGCCAGCTGAAAAGACTAAGACTATGTTTCTCAAGGTGAGCATTTGAGCTTATAAAACTTAAACTTTATTTATTTATTAAATAAGCATTCATTTCACTTGATAAGACCCTTATTCCTCGTCTGGTTTCGTTTAAAGCCCTTGGAAGCTGCACTGAAACTCTCATTTGGACCTTGAACCGTTTGGTTCCCAATGAAGTCCATTATATGGAGAAAATCCTGGAATGTTTTCATCAAAAACCTGAATTTCTTTTCGACTGAAGAAAGAAAGACATGGACATCTTGGATGACATGGGGGCGAGTAAATTATCAGCAAAAGTTTTTTATAAGTGAACTACTCCTTTAAATTATTGCATAATACGTATAATGGGTTATTTTAATTTGGCGTGTTTGCAAGCCGTTTAATTCATAAATTTAAAAAATAAAACAAAATAAATGAACTAAAGCCAAAGGTTCTATAAAATGAATGAAGTGCCTGACGGAATCTTGAAGGTTCCATTTAGAACCTTTTCTTCTAAGAGTGTGAATCAAATATCAATGCGAGTGTCGTTTGTTAAAGAGACACAAAAAGTGGTTTGAAATTCTAAAACGAAATCACCAGCTGATTAAAACGTATCCTGAGGCGTTCAGAGCGTTTGAAGCGTCGAAATGCTCGTCAGGGCCGCTGTACACACTTCTGTCTGCTGTGATACTACTGACCTGAGAACGTCTGATAAAGCTTGTGAAGATGTGCGTTTGCTGACCGCTCGCATTTCGTCATCCTGACCGGCTTTTCCCGCAGATTTAGCTAAAGCAATATTCTGGATGAATGCCGTCGACTCTCAGAGAAAATCAAATGGTTGTTTTATTTGAGCAGCTGATGTGTTTTCTATGGGAATCGCCAGCATCAATATTCAGTGTAATGACAGAACATTCCTTTAAACGGTTCAGTAACCTTATCATTCCCACCGGTGTGTTTTTTTTTTTTTTTTTTTTTTTCTCCACGTTGTCTTAATCCACTTTTAAAACGTACTACTATTGTATAGCACAACGTTAGAGTCCCTGTAAATAAACAGTAGAATGTATTTCCTGCATTTATCGGAGAATCCGTGAAGCGTAGCTTTCCTTCAGTTAGTTGGTAAAAATGCACATCTTTCATCACTTTTTTTATCGTACAATGTTTTGATTTCCTAGATATTTCATAAATAAAGAAAAAAGCAAAGTAGATTTATTTATCTAAACATGAAAAGTTTAAAGTTATTTAATGTATGAAAAGTCGGGCGTATCATTTAACCGTAGATTTATGTAATCTGCTTTTTCAATAAAGTGGTTTTTTTAGTTAACTTAAACTGTGTGACTTATGAAGTTATTTGTGTGGATCAAAACTACATCTCATTCACACTCACTTTCATTTAGATGTCTTTGTAATTATATTTTAATTGCACAATAAAATAGGGGGAAAAAATGATGTCACTCCAATCAAATCAGTATTTTACCCTTTTCCTGTCACCCCCCTTTTTGAGAATGGGGGTGAAAATGCACTATTCAAACTGAAATGGTTGTAATTCAAGAATGTTTTGGAATATACCCAAGTTTGGTCTTGTTTTAAAGAAAACACTCTGCAGAATATTGCTCAAGTGAAAACACTTCAAAAAATGAAAGTATGAAAAAGTTATGGATGTTTAAATTTACAGTAAGTCAAATATACTGTACTATATATTGTTTATTTGGTATAAAATAGATATTTTACAAAATAGCTTTTACTCTAAAATTATTATAAAATCAAAGTCATAAATCTAACCAAGTTATGTTCCAAATTTGAAGTTGATATCACAAAAACTGAAGTTCCCATGAGATTTTGTTTAGGCGTAGTACCAAAAACAGCCACCGGGTGCCATTGAATTCCGTTGAATGTAGTTGTATACATTCTGCCTTAACAAATTAATACATTTCTGTCCAAATATCAATTCTGTCACAAAATTGGGAACCTTGAGACTCAGACCTTTCTGACAATATGTGTTTTGTCAAGATTAGAAAAGGTTTTGATCAGATTATGAAATATGATGCCCAAAAGGGGCAGAGCCTGATCAAATAATTTAGAGTACCGTTTCTATGGTAACGCAACGTTCAATTATAAAACGGTTTTCACAGGATGAATTCTGAGTTTGTAAGCTTTCAAATGATACCTAATTTACGATAACTACTAAAATATGTGATATAATAAAAAAGCGATAAAAAATATATTATATTTTAGAGGATTATATATACAGTATATTATAATTTTATTTTTAATAATATAATATAATAATTTGAAAAATACTAGATTATATGGTTTTATTATGAATTTTTAGCATGAAAACCCAATGTTTCAATTATTAAAGGTGTGCGTCAACTTTTTTGTGACAAACGTCAGAACTGAGAAAAGGATTTGCCGTTTCAGTTGTTCAATGTTTTCTTGGCCAGGACACTCTTGAAAAAGAGATTTTTAATCCCAAGGAGTCTCTTCCTGCTTAAATAAAGGTAAAACATTTTTTTCTTAATCAAATCATCGGCTAACACTTTATTTTGATTGTCCATTTCAGACAATCCATTGACTAGAAGTCATTTTGCAACTCATGTCAAGTTATTCTACTCACCCGAAACTATCAGTCTCACTCTAATATGAGAGTTACTTGACAAAGTTCCTCAAAATAAAGTGTTGCTCTTTTAATGTGAAGTTGCCGTCAGCTTTTGTCTGATTAGTTTTGCCAGTAATCGGATCAGAGAAGTAATCGTTTCTTCCCTGAATCTGGTGTGTTTACTGTTGCGGAGGAGATTTGAGGATTAAACATTAATTACGTCATAAAGAACGACTTCTTTTAATCTTCTAATCTGTGTTCATCTGGGTTTACATCACACTGCAGAAAGATAATACATATATATAAAAAAGAAAATAATGGCATATTAAACATTGAGACTAAATTTATGTGTGAGTGTGTGTGCTTCTGTATGAGTGTGTTTGTGTGCCTGTGTGTGTTCCTTATATTATTAACATGTATAGGTAACATTTTTAAAGAATTATATATAGATGTAGGCCTATGTAAAATTCTTTATACATTTTATATATACACACACATTTTTTGTCTAAATGAGTTCTTTTTTCTTATGAATTTATATTAAATTAAATATTATATTAATGTACTATCTAAATATATAATTAAAAAACAAACAGTTAAATGTGTGTATATAAGTCCATGGATTTAAGTTATACAGTGGCATGAAGTCTATAATGCTGAAAAGTGTGGTATTTCCTCCTGAATTTTCTGTCGGTGTTGAACAGAGGAGGTGTTGAGTTCATTAGCGGCGCGATGACGAACCGCAGATGTGTTTTGACTTTAATGAGACTCTTACTGTGTTTTTCTTCATTTCTCTGCTTCAGTTCTGGTCATCTGACTGTTACAGACCCGTGTGAAACACAAGTGGGCCTAATTGCATCGAATCTGCACTTGTACTTCAAATCTTAAAAGTAAGTTTGAAATCATTTTATCTGTAGGATTATTTAATATTATATGTAATATATATTGTAAATGTACTAGATTGCAATTCATATGTGATTACATGACATACAAGTTTAATTAGAAAATGACATTGAAGTATATTTTAGTTTATAAACCCTTCTCGGTTCATTCCAGAGACTGTAAAAAATGCAGCACTTTCATAAAATAAAATTTCATAAAGATTTACAAAAGTCCTACTTCAGTGGGTCAAATAATACATTTAAACTAATACATTTTCATTCAATTGCAAATAACTTGCATTTAAGTGTGAAAACATTGCATTCAGTTTGCACAAAGATAGTGTATTATTTCTGTAATTCATACTCCTTTTTATAAGCATGAATGCTAAAGTGTACGTGTTTTTCATAAGGTCATATCAAGTCCCGCTGTAGTCATTAATTTTATCTCCTAAAACTCATCTGTGACCACCAAAATGACATATTCAAGCTTTTTTTCCTTTGCATCATTTAGTATGCGCGGTCCCATGAATATGCAAATGAGCCCCGCCTCCACTCACTCGCTCTTCCATGTGTGTATGGAAGAGCTTATGTTGAGTTTTGATATTATTGTGCTGGTTTTGTGACCCTGTCCTCAGGTCTCTGATGAAAATCGTGCTCATCTGACTCCAGATCAGTGCTGACAATGAAGCAGATTTTCCATGTCAGACCGGGTTTCTTTGTCACTGACAGTGTCGGGGCTCCAGGCCAAAGGACCACCCAAAAACCTCTGGACAGTGAGGATCGGCTTCACATAACTGCCGGATCCGTGGGAACGTGTGTGTGTGTGTGTGTAAATCCAGCCGTGGCGCTGGGAATCAGAGCTCCACTCGGCATCTCTGCCATTAGATTGATGTGTAACTGAATCACGGGACTTTTTGCTGCTCTTGTTTTTCTAGATTGAAGAGTATCAGTTCAGAAGCAGAGTTTTCCACCAGTCTCTGTGATGATGGAGTTTGGACAGTGAATGAATGAAAATCCCTGAGGTCGGATGAAATCTGGTGCCAGTGACCTCTAATAAACACAGGGATGATGTCTGCACTAGTGTACATGCATGCAAAAATAGCATGTGAACAACACTGTGCATGTTTAAATCTGCAAACAATAATTGTAATATTAACAATAAATATAGCTGACAGCAGCCGTTAAGGGGCCAAACACACGAGTCAGAAAAGTCATTAAGATCATTTCAGGCAAAATGGCTGGAAAATCAAAAATATAATCACAAGCGATGTGATTTAATGCTTTATCACTTTTGACCAATAGGTGGCGCTGATATGAAATTGATGTGGTGTGGTTAGTGTGAGGCGACAATAACACATGCAAAGTTTGGTGTCGATGCAGAGAAACAGCCTCAACTTTTATTTGTTGGTGCGGTATATGAAAACGGTTTCGTCTACAGTATCGACACTCCATAACTTTTTGCCTGCACGATCTTAAGATGATATGATTTGGTATTTGGAGAAAATCGTCTAGGATGAGTTTGTAAGTTAAGAAAGAAAATCAACATGGCGGACAGGATGTTTTCGGCATGACCCAAAGAATCTATTAAGACCAGTTTCATTACAATAGGCAAAGCTTATGAAAAGCTCTTTGCATTTTTTCCAAAAATAGCATTTTACGACAAAAATTCTAAATTATTGGAATGGGAAAATTGGGTATCGTTCGACTCAGCTGAACCGAATCTACAGAGGCTAGTTTTGTGTTAACAATGATCCAGTTACATTTTTTTGTGGAATCATGTCCTAGGAGGAGTTCGAAAAGGTATGTTTTTCGGAAAATTCAAAATGGCCGAAAAAATTTCATGATGGAAAATTATCTCATACGATGAAATAAAATCATCCTGAGCCAAGGAATCAGGGGGGAAAGAAGGTCGTGTGTCCACCAAAGCGTTTTTAGCTAGCTAAAAGCACTAGACGCCTAGCGCTGGGCGCTTGAGAGCGTTTTTTCCGTTGAGACGTTTCGTTGCTATGATACAGAATATCCGACACACAGTTTACTTGTAACTGATTTCGCAGATAATTTTGTTTCATACAAAAAAATTATTTCTCATCCATGTTGTTCGGTTAGCTCTGCTGGTTGATGTCATTGTACGGAAAGAATGTTGTGACAGTTGGTCAGTGTGGTATTAGCCCCGCCCCTCCTCCACTGTGATTGGTCGGTTGGGTAAACAGTGACAGTGATGAGCGCTGCGTTTTACTCAGAGGTTTTATCCAAAGTTGAACATTCTTCAACTCTCGGCGACCAGTAAAAAAACACAGCGCGAAAGAAAAAAAAACCCATTAAACCATTTAAAAAAGGCGCGTGGAAAAAGGCTTTCGGCCTAATTGTATTTCAAAAGTTTTCCTTACAAACGTGAGTGCAACTTTGGACAGTTGGTGGCGCTGGAGGGATTGAGTTAGAGACTCCAAATGAGCTATTGAGACGTGTGCCAAATTTCATAACTTTTTTTTATTGTTATTAAAAATGATTTTATTCTTTCATGTTGGCTGAGGTGAGACAGACCAAATGTTTTGGCATTATACATTAATGTTCAGTGGTTGTTCAATAGAAATATTAATGCAGTATTTTCAGTACGTTCACATGAAAGAAAGCGCATCAGATATGAGTTATTGAGCAGAAATGCTGAAGAAACGTCTTATCTCACATTATTGCTCAGTTGAACAGGAGCTTTATCGCTTTAATTAAATGGACACCAGCTCCATTTATGGAAAATGCCAGATCACTGTTGCCTATTACAGTTTTTAGCCCTGTTGCCACGGTAACTGCATTGCCTTTCAAATTGTTGTGAGGACCTTGATATGTTCATTCATTTTGCTCACCGCCAGTTTAATCTCAGCTCAGATGAAATTTCAGAAATCATTCTCTTCCTGATAATTATTTCTCCTTCTTCCAGGGAAAACGCCGGAAATAACCGGGCGTGCGATGTTTGAAGTGAAAGACATGTTGCCAGGCAACAGGCATATTTTCCCCTGATCTGATCTCTCTGAGATTTCTCTCTGATCTGTCAATCATTTCATCAGATGCAGGAATTATTTACAGCTCCAGAACTCGTGCGTTTAAACGTTTCTGTGTGCTAATACAGGGTCGTTTAGTGTTGTTCATTCACATGATGTTTTCCAGATGTGAGTTTTGGTTCTGACTCTGTGTGATTTGGGATTTGAGTGGAACAGAAAACAACTGACCTTTGACCTCGTGATCCAAAAGAGGGAAACACTGGGAACCGGTACACTGATGAACTGTTATGCATATGGACTTACAGCGCCACCTGCAGCTGGTCAACAACTCGCCTTTCTGATCTCTCATGAAAATCAGATGCAGCTCATTTCTTCCATATATATATATATATATATGGAAGAAATCAGCTGCATCTGATTTGTTATGGATATGGACCCATCTAAGGGTCCCTCAGACTGTGGACTCTTTTAAAAAAGGCCTTAAAACCCAACTTTTTAGAAAAGCCTTTTATCGCTAACAGTGTTTTTATTTCATTTGTTTGATCTTTTTTTAATGTTTCTGTTTTTATGTTGTAGCACTTTGAGGTCATTAAATTGATGTAAAGTGCGTTACAAATAAAATATATTATTATTATTATTTTAGTAAATTATAAGAAATAAATAGAAACATTTGCTAATTTAGTTATCAAACAAAATCCTAAACTTTAACAGAATGTACAAATGACCTTTGATATAATTCTTATTAATAATTATATATATTTTAAAGCGAATTTTGACAATTTAGTTGACAATAATTGAAGAATAACCAATGACAGAGCAAGCAGAATCCCAGTCTGTTATGAATCTGAATAATTGCCTATATTTTAATTGAAGATATGTCATAGCAACACTAAGAACGCTTATTGAATGATTTCATTAAACTAACCTATAGGTTTTAATGAAAGCGAAGATGTCTGAAATGTCCATTTAATTAATGGAAATACTGAATAATAACCCCATTAATTACAATAATTATTACATTTAAATATGATAGTGTTAACACTATTAACAGCTCAAATAGTGCTATTTTTATGAATAACAAGTTCAGTGCAAAGTGATTTATTTTGGGGGGAAAAAATTCCCACTTTCATGAAGTACAAACAGAGTTTGGTGTAACAAAGATGGTAACTTTTTATAATTATGCATAATCATAATTGAACACAATACTGCCTATTTATGGTTACACAATAATGCGTATGGTTACACAATAAAAATAAACTACATTTTAGTTTCAAAATATTTTAAAATCTAATTAAAAAAAAAAAATTGTGCCGTGTGCTTCCAGAGAGATGGTGGGGTTTTGAGGTGCAGCAGGGGATTCTGGGAAAAGGTGAAACTTCATTCAAGCGAAGTTCTTCTTGAGGAAGTTGATGAGGCCGTTGGTGGATGAATCGTGGGAACTGACCTCGGCGGAGTCCTGAAGCTCGGGTTCGATCTTCTTCGCCAGCTGTTTCCCGAGCTCCACGCTGATAATAGAGACAAGTCAGACGTCAATATATCTCCACGAAAACCGTAAGAAAACATTTTGTATCTTGAATCAGTTCAGTTTAGTTGTTTTAGTTTTGTTTTTGTGGATATTTCGTTTATTTCTCATCATTCCCTGTGTTTACGTGTGTTTTCATTGGTTGCCATGGTTACTCATTGATGTCTCACACCTGTTCCTCGTTTAGATCATTAGTTTAGTTTGTCTTCGTCCGGAGTTGAATGTTGCGTCTTTTCTCGTGTTTGTTTATTCTCTTTTGGTTTAGTAAAAATAAAGCTACGTCTCGTCTTCTTCCTCATCTGTACTTAACAATAGTGACGTGAGAAACAAAGCTTTTCAATACTCTTAATCAATTCCTTCAAAATGATTCACTGATTCAAACACAACGAAAACTCAGCATAAAAACACCTTTTACAAACCATTTGCAAATGTTTTCTTGAAAGGTTAGTCTATCAAATGAAATCTACAAATCATCAAGCACCATTAAATATGAAGTGTTGGTATAAAATGAGCTCTTTCATGAATTTTTTGGGATTGTTTTGTGTGTTTTTTATCATACAAATGTGTCATTTCAATTGTCTACAACTTTATAAAACAGTTTTAGACAGTATTCATTGAGATAATCGCCCTCTAATGGCGAACAACTGAAATTTCAAAAAGGCTATGAAAAAATACTGAAAACTATACAGGAATATATATAAAAAAAAAAAAAAAACAAAGAATAAAAAAAATGATAAAACAAGAATTTTGACAGAAATGAAAATGAAAAAATTCCCAAAAAATGAATATATATATATATCTTTAAATTATATATATATATATATATATATATATATTTATACTAAATTAAAACTAAATTTTAAAAGAAATCATTTAATAAATTAAACTTGAGCTCAGGATCAAAAATATAATTATTTTGACGGGTTCATCCTTTTTTATTAACATTCCAGAGATAATTTTATTTATTCTTCTTAAATAGTTTATTTTATTTTTTATTTGATACATTCACATTATCAAGCTATTATAGTGTATATATAGTATATATTTATATCTAAAACTAAAACCATAAGAAAGCATTTTCCTTAATTGAAATAAAACAAAGTATACTTAACTTGATGCACTGAAACAACTCAAATTAAAACTGAAATAAAAATGAACAAAAACGAGACATACGTTTTTTTTAAATTAATACATTTAAAAAAAAAAGTATAAATATAATATAAAAATATTAAAATAAAAGCTACTTTACAATATTATTAAAAACTAATAATAAAATAAAACTGGTCTGGTAATAATACTCATCAAAACTCAATTTATCTAATCATATTCACTCACCCCCACTGATCAAAACTGTTGATTTCCCACATGACGCCCTGAATGAAGATCTTGTGTTCGTACATGGCTGTTAAGAAAGGTCAGAGGTCAGGAACCTGCAAATCCGATGATATCTAATACACCAAAAACAGCGTTTAACTCACCAATCAGAACGCCGAGAGTATACGGAGACAACTTTTTGAAGATGATGGAGTTCGTTGGCTTGTTTCCTTCAAATACCTGGACAGAAACGCATGGATGATGTTTTAGTGCTACTGCGACATGTTTGCGTATTGTACATTGTATCACAGCTATTTTTTAATAATAGCATCTGACATCATCATTACGCAATGATAAATATTCAATTTGCATGTGATTTGCACATTTAATAACTGTTATGTGAGCAATGAATGAAAATAAAAATATTAAATAAATAAATAAAAGTTAGCATTTGTAATTATAAATTTGTATGGAAAACTAAATCGTGAGTCAAATTTTATCACACTGGGAAAACTGAAGGTCATGATTGTGGGATACATTATCTCATACACTACTATATAATACAGTATAATGGTGTTCATGAGTTATGGTAATTATGGTAAATACCAAAAGCCGACGTGGGAAATGCACACGAACACCCCCTCATGTGGTATTTTCCACTGGGTAACTCGTAGAATATTCTGATGCACGAGTTGCCGAGATGAGATAACCTTTGACCTTTTCAAAATGGCAGAGGTTCACGACGCTAGAGTCGTGAATGGTAAAAATATATACAATTCATGATCTAGAAAATACACAGCATATTATTTACCGTTTGAGTTTTGAAAAATATATTTTTTTTTGCTGTAGCAGAAATAGTTTTAGCTAAATAACAGGTCTGAATATCCATCTTTTTACCACAACAAAAGCACTCGAACGCAACACACTGGTAAATACCAGTTCACAAGTGGAAAATATCATATTTTCCATAATATATATGATATGGGTGTTCTTTGTGTACAGAAAATCCACACTCTGCGCATTATACCTGCTGCATGAATATTACGAGTGGTGTAGTTGTGATTTGTGTCATGTAGGGGTCAGTATAAGCCAGTGTTTGACTTTATATTCTCACTTTGTGTGGGAGAATATTCTCCAGCTTCTCTCCGCTCAGTCCTCCAGCTTCCAGCTCTTTCTTCGCCTCTTCTGTCGTCTTTCCCTTCATCAGTGCCTCGGTCTGGGCTAGGAAGTTCGCCACCAGGATCTTCAAGTCAAATCACATTCATTGATATAGCATTTAATACTGTACAGATCGCTTCAAAGCAGATTCACGGAAAAAAAACAACAGCAGGAAATAGACAACTCTTGTTTTTTTAATTTATTTAGTCGTGATTTTGACTTAATGTCATAATGGTTGACTTCTCATGTGATTATTATGACTTTTGAAATCATAATTAAAATTTTTCAACTGTCATAATTTTGACTTTTTATCTCAAATGTGACTTTGTTAGTCATAATTTCAACTTAAGTCATAACTTATAACTCATGTCGAAACTCGCACTAATTTTTTACTTACTATGTCATAATTATGACTTTTCTCATACTTGTGACTTTTTGACTTATTGTCATAACTTATGACATGTAAAACTCGCACTAATTTTGACTTTTTGTCTAATTTCATATTTTTTAAGCCTCATAATCACAACTTTTATAATTTCGACTTCATAAAACAATCATAAATATCATTTAATTTGTCATAATTTCGGCTTTTTATGTCATAAATGCAATGAATTGTATTCGATTCATTGAACTCTTAGAAGAAAAGGTTCTATATAGAACTTTAAAAAGTTCTATCAGCGCTACGTATTTGGAACCCCTAAGAGGTTCTATACAGAAGCCTTTTTAAGGGTTTAATAATAAGAACCAGGAAATCAGGAAAAAGGTTCTATATGGAACCTTTTGGGTTCATTCATTATAATTGTCCTTTCCGGATTAAATATTTCATATTATTGACAAACATCAAGACCCTAAAATGTATTTATGAATGCATGTGAATGATCACAAAATTCAAGATATGGGGGTTAGAAAATTTATATATTTATATCATTTTATGTAGTTAATCAATATCACATGAAGAGTGCCATTTCAGTTTTTGTCCTCCAAAAATCAGCATAATTAAAATGGTGATAATAAACAATAATTTAATTACAACTGCAAAATGTTGCAGAATAATGTAATATATGAATGGCTATTATTCATTCATATATTACATTATTCTGCAACATTTTGTGCCAAAAGGGTTCTTTCTTGCCATTATAGAACCTTTTTTTAGCATAAAAGGTTCTTTGGAGTTAAGTAAACAACCCTATGCTACATATAGAGAATCCCCATGAACCCTTGTTTCTAAGAGTGTAGTAAAGCATGATTTGTCTGAAATGGGCTTCGGTAAACCACCCTGCAGCTCGGTACCTTGTGGTGAAGGCTGTTTCTGATTGGATGCTGAGTCTGGGCAGGAATGAGGAAGTCAGCAGGAATCATTCGAGTCCCTGTTGAGGAGACAGAAGGGTCAGACAGACGCTCCTCGTCGTGTATGTCAGATTGAGCAGGTCAGCGAGTGAACCTTGGTGGATCAGCTGATAGAAAGCGTGCTGTCCGTTAGTGCCCGGTTCACCCCACACGATCGGCCCGGTGTGATAGTTCACCTGCTGACCCTTAGTAGTGATGTACTTTCCATTCGACTCCATGTCACCCTGTAAAATCACAGCATTAGATATACTGTAGCATACTCTAAAAGCTCTGTACAGGAGTGTGTGTTTTACCTGTTGGAAGTACGCGGCGAAGCGGTGCATGTACTGATCGTACGGCAGGAGACAGTGTGTCTCTGCCTGGAAGAAGTTGATGTACCAGATGCCCAGCAGAGCGAGCAGAACCGGTGCATTCTGGTCCACGGGGGCCGTGCGGAAATGAGTGTCCTGCCAGAGAGTTTATGCAAAGATATCAGCACAGGATGCATTCAAGTGATCAGTAACGTTTTCAAATAAATGCCTTTGTATTCATCAAACACTCCTGGAAAAATGTAAAGCAGCACGACTGTTTTTAACATTAAAGGAGTAGTTCACTTAAAAACAAACTTTTGCTGATAATTTACTCACCCCCATGTCATCCAAGATGCCCATGTCTTTCTTTCTTCAGTCGGTTTTTGATGAAAACATTCCAGGATTTTTCTCCATATAATGGACTTCAATGGGGACCAAACGGTTCAAGGTCCAAATGAGAGTTTCAGTGCACCTTCAACGGGCTTTAAACGACACCAGACGATGAATAAGGGTCTTATCAAGCGAAACGATCGCTCATTTAAAAAAAAAATTAATAACAAAGTTTTATAAGCTCCAATGCTCGCCTTGCTCTGTTCTGTGATGCGCGTTCGTGACTCTCCTGTTTGAACTTTGTTCATCAAAATGAACAAATCTTTTTTCGAGTCATGACTCTAAGGGTCCTTGATAAGACCCTTAGTCATCGTCTCGAATCGTTTAAAGCCCTTTGAAGCTGCACTGAAACTCTCATTTGGACCTTGAACCGTTTGGACCCCATTGAAGTCCATTATATGGAGAAAATCCTGAAATGTTTTCATCAAAAACCGACTGAAGAAAGAAAGACATGGACATCTTGGATGACATGGGGGTGAAATAATCAGCAAAAGTGTTTTAAAAAGTGAACTACTCCTTTAAAATTAATAATCATAAATGTTTTTGAGCAGAAAATCATTTCTGAAGGATCATGTGACACTGAAGACTGCAGTAATGATGCTGAAAATTCAGCTTTGATCACAGGATATAAATTACATTTTAATATATATCCTCATAGAAAACAGTTTTTTCGAAATTCTAATAATATTTGACATTTTAACTTAAGTTACACAATGTTATCAGCCCCATACTTTTGAAACACAAGTATATCTGCAGGTCATTATGCATAAATGTTTGACTTGGTTTGCCAATGAAGGTCAAATACTATACTAATAACGTCCTCAATAATGAAACCCACCATCCAATGAGCTCCAGCCAACAGCTTCTCGAAGTTCTCGAATCCTGCGACAGAAGAGATCAGACAGACGCTTGAGAATCTCTCACACTCACTATCTGACATGAGAGTCACATGATAACACTCACCGATGTGAAGTGCAATAGACAGTCCAATCGCAGACCACAATGAGTATCGTCCGCCGACCCACTGACGTCAAAAAAGAGGCACAATACAGAAGATTTATGCATTATTAGATAAGTTTTGCAAACATACTGATCAAGCTTTTCTGTACTTGTTCAAACACACAGTAAGCTGGAGAGTTTATAGTGTCCATAATAAACGGGATTGTAAGGAACCTTGCCCTTTAAATATCAACAATGTGAGTAAAAGTAGCCCGTCGGCCTTTCCAGTGACCTGCGCTCGGAGAAGGTCAGGATCATGAATAACTGCGGGTCAGTCGAGAGACTCTGGTTACCAGCAGCTGCTGCTGTGAGCACACACACACACACACACCTACTTCAACAGGGCAAAAATAACTCAGGTCCTCAACGGACACACACTCACATCCCAAAACTCAAACATGTTCTCCGGGTCGATGCCGAAGTCCTTCACTTTGGGCTGAAACACAGAGGGGAATGAAGTCGGTCTGAGAACTGATGTAATATTTTAAAATGTCTGCTTTAAAAAAAAATAAATAAAAAAAAAAGATATAAGTTTCTGTATAAAAAAATAATAATAATAATAATAATAATAAATATATAAATAAAGTTGTCCTCCGAAGAGGGGGGGTGGAGGTGGGTGAAAAAAAAAAGTCTGCTTTTTTAAAGTTATCATGTCATGTTTTTACTGATTATGTTTTCTCTCTGAGATGTCCATAATATAATGCTGGTCAATTACTCATAATTTGGTCATAATTTAGTCTCTTTGATAATTTTTATCTTTAAGACACAGAATAAAAAAAAGATAAAAAACACAACAAAATTGAATAAAACTGAGGACAGAAAACATACAAATAAATATAATTAAAAATATTTATCATCTCTCAATGATACAAAAATAATTCTGTAGATAAAGTGCAAGTGCAAAATAAATTTATTTTGCAAAATAATTTCAATAAATGCTCTTTTTGGTTTCACTGTAAAAAATATTTTCAAGATTTGTTATCACAACATATTTTCTTTTGTCAAATCAACTTTATAATAATTTATTTAGTTGAGAACTTATTATTTTGAGTTTCTGATGGTTAAATTAATCTACTTCATTGTATTAACTCACTTTTTCCAGTTCAATCAACTTAAAATTTTAAGGCAACCAGGTTACTTACTTTTTTAAGTTAAACCAACAATATTGTTTTACAGTGTAGTAATCACAACATTTTTTCTTTTGTCAAATCAACTTAAATAATTTATTTAGTTCAGATAACATTTAATTTTGAGTTTCTGATGATTAAATTAATCTCCTTCATTGTGTTAACTCACTTTTTCCAGTTCAATCAACTTAAAATTTTAAGGCAACCAGGTTACTTACTTTTTTAAGTTAAACCATCAATATTTTTTTACAGTGTTGTTTTGAGTATTGAAAATACAATTTGTTTTAATATGGTACAATGAAGTGTTTCATTTTTAAAGTTTTATGAAAAAATGCCATTCCTGATGATATGAGCCCTTTACATCTAAACTAGAATGAACTTACCCCATTGGTCGAGAGCGCCACGAAATGCTTGGCAACTGCAGATTTCTGTGAGAATGACAAAAACGACAGACGAATCAATGCGTGGCACAGACGTCTCACACACGTCCCTGTAAAAGAGCTGCGACTCACGTCTTTGGCGGCCAGCAGGAACCATTCCTTCGCTGATTCAGCATTTGTGATGGTTTCCTGAGTCGTGAATGTCTGAGGAAGACAAACAGACAACAAACCACTTCATTTCTTTATCATTATGATACATATCAAATTGATTTTGTTGCTGTTTGAGCATGAAAAATCTATATCAGTGTGTCTGAACTCCTGAAACGCCTCCATTGTAGTCTTGAGATTCTCCCGGGAACGAACACGTCACAATATTCCTCATTATAATAATTAATGCGCAGAATAAAGGGGCGGGGCCTGGTCGAGTTAGTTAGGAGTGTGTTAAACTGGCGGTTATGGAATGGGGCGGGACATTTCCCAAACACACTCAACCAATCATAACACAGAGATCCAGCTGACCAATCAGAGCACAGTGTGCTTTTCAGAAGGAGGGGCTTCATAGAGACAGGAAGTGAATAGAGCGTTACTGACAGACTGGGAAAAGAGGAGCCGCAACAATAGAGAATATGAGGAGAATAATCAACATTCAAGCAGGAAAGAGCCTGAAACTACATCAAGACTTTGAAAAAGTGCATAAAATGGCCTCTTTTAAAAGTGAATTTCCTCTGCTTGTTTGTGTATCAACGCTAATGCTGTAAAATATGTTTTAGTTTCTAAATACCTTCGATGCGACAATGAAGAGTGTGGTCTCAGCGTTGAGTTCAGCCAGAGTCTTAGCGATGTGCGTTCCATCGATGTTCGACACAAACCAGACGCGAGGTCCGCCTTTCGAGTAGGGCTTCAGGGCTTCTGTCACCATTAAAGGACCCTTGAACACACACACACACACACACACACACACACAAAACAACTATTTAGATGCCTGCCCTGTACAATGTTAGGATGGGGATCCTTGGCATCTAAAAGATTGAAAACCTCGATCTAGAACACAATAAGATTTCACAAACCAGATCAGATCCACCGATGCCGACATTGACCACATCAGTGATGGATTTCCCGGTGTATCCCTTCCACTCGCCACTGCGGACTTTCTGTGGCGGGAAGAAAAACCTGCGAGTTATAATAACATCCTGGTGTCACGTTCAGCTGTCGTTTTAGCTTCGTTTTCATTGACTTTTAGTTTGTTTCTCCCTTGAAACTCATCTTGGATCACCATAATGACAAATTTAAACGTTTTTCCTTGAAAAAAAATTATTTAAATCGTTTAAAGCCCTTTGAACAGTTTGCAGTTTGCACTGAAAGTGTCTTTTGGGCCTTGAACCGTTTGGTCCCCATTGAAGTCCATTATATGGAGAAAAATCCTAGAATGTTTTCATCAAAAACCTTAATTTCTTTTCGACTGAATAAAGAAAGACATGGACATCTTGGATGACATGGGGGCGAGTAAATTATCAGCACATTTTTATTTTATTTTTTTTAAAGTGAACTACTCCTTTAAAAATCGATCTGATGAAGTAATCTCAGGAGACATGAAGTGAAGCTAACATTGGATTCGGACGTGCCTTGATGCCTCGAAGTGAAAAGTGCCATTGCCCTCAGTTCAGTTTGCTCATTGTCTGGTGTTGGACACCGTTTCATTGACTCTTGTTTGTGTATATCTGTATTTTGTTTTGTTTAATAGAGTGACTTCTGCATTTAGATCTGCTACACCTGCCTCGTCTTCTTCCTCAGCCCAAAAACGGCACCTGCTAAAACACTTTACTACTTGGATTATTTCTGAACAGCATCCCATCCTCAGATATGACACTCACATGACAGAAGCCCTTCATCTTCTCCAGAACCTTGTTCACCTCTGGCATCACGTCTTTCCCATCCACGTTTATGGGTGTGTTTGAGCGGTTCCTCAGGGCCACGTGGAGAACAGCACGACCCTGTAGACGACACAATCATCATGCAAAGCTCACAGATATGATTCATGCATTTGGCAGACACTTTAATCCAATGCAACTTACATTGCATTCAATATATAAGTTCATTTCAGTTCATTTCCCGAGAATCAAACCCACGTCCCTGCTGTTGCTACTAGACTATAAGAGCTGCAAGCATTTTACAAGTGCAACTTACATTTAAAAATGTAAGACTTTATGATAACTGCATGCTATGAATATTTATTTAAGCATTAGTATATATAAAGCATTATTAGACATTAATACGTTTATAAATACAAAGCAAAGCATGGCATATCTATAATGTGTTTAATAGCCTAATTGTATTTTCATATTTTATCTATATTTCTAAATTAAGAATTGCATTATTTACAAACCAGTTATTTAGGAGTTGGAAGTGGAAGTAAACTATAATTAAACTATTAAATGTATATTTTTACATCTTATTATTTAGACATATAGTAAGTTACTCAGTGTGTTAATAAATGCTACTGTAATTCATGTAGTTATGAAACATTTAGTTTGTTGTCAGTTAACTATTTCTCAGTTAACACTGTCAGAAAAAAAGGTACAAAAGCTGTCACTGTGGCTGTACCTTTTCAAAAGGTAAACTTTTGTCCATTTCAGGTGCTAATATGTACATTTTAGGTGTTAATATTGACATTTTAGGGGCTAATATGTACATTTCAGGTGCTGATATGTCCATTTCAGGTGCTAATATGTCCATTTCAGGTGTTAATATGAACATTTTAGGTGCTATTATGTACATTTAAGGTGCTAATATGTATATTTTAGGCACTAATATGTTCATTTTAGGTGCTAATATGTACATTTTAGGTGCTAATATGTACCATTAAGGTACCAATATGCAGCCTTTAGGTACAAAAGTGAATCTTTTGAAAGGGTACAGCCCCAGTGACAGCTTTTGTACCTTTTTTTCTGAGAGTGTGAGGACTATTTATGCCTCAAAAAGCTTTTACAAAAGAGATTTATTAATTGTTTATTAATGCTTTAAAAAGTATGAATTAACTATTCACACACCAACACACACACACATGAAATACCTCAGTGAAATTAATCTTTTCTCCTGAGAACATCTTGTCTCTGGATGCCTCCACACCACGAGACTTTGCCTATGATGCGAATCATAATATTTACACAATATTTATCTATTTAATTCTCATGAAAATTCATCTGTTCAAAACTTTACCAGCTCCACGAGCATCTTCATAACCTCCTCGTTTATACGGTTCTTAGAGTAATCCAGCAAAATATCTCCTTCATCTGTTTTTAAAGTTAAGCTGTTAAAAGAATAAACAGATGAACTCTTGGTTCAGAGGAAAAAAATAATAAAGCTGAACTCATGCAAAACCTGAGACCAGATAGTTAAACTTAAGTTAAAATTACATAGAAAATACATACAATTCATAAATACACATATTTTATGCCAATTTGTAAAGTGTATATTTGAAAAGTTATGAATTAGATGTGGGCGGGGTTTGATAATGATTGACAGGATATCAAAAAACGATTGTACTTGTGACTCCGCCCACTAGATTTACTGCAGGATCTGTGAAGGTCAATTGCTATATTTTTTTATAAATTAAATTACTTTAAATAATGACCCGCTTCATGCAGAGTAAGTTCAATAAATAAATAAAGTAAAGTACCTGAACTTTTGAAATCGGTTTTTGTCAGCCTCGAACATCTGCCTCATGTTGAGATTCGCGGCGTTTGATTTGTACCATTTTTCTAGATTCTGAAAGTTTGGGTCACTTGTCAGTCCCATCGTGACGTGTATCGGACCGAACCTGTGTGTGTGTGTGAGTGTGTGTAAGAATCTCCGGCTGAACTGAACTCAAATGTCACAGATCCGCCTTATGAAGGGCGAAGAAAGCAGCTGATCTGCAGCCCAACACACCCCCTTTACACACACACACACACACACACACACACACACACACACACACTCTGTTCTCTATATATAATGCATGATATATTGTATGTATTAAATAAAATGTGGCTTACTCTCTCTCTCTCTCTCTCTCTCTCTCTCTCTCTCTCTCTCTCTCTCTCTCTCTCTCTCTCTGTCTCTCTTATATATAATGGACTGTATTATATTGTATTTATCGAATAAAATGTGGCCTTCTCTCTCTCTCTCTCTCTCTCTCTCTCTCTCTCTCTCTCTCTCTCTCTCTCTCTCTCTCTCTCTCTCCTCTATATTTAATGTACTGTATTATAAATTGTAGTTAGTGAATAAAATGTGGCCTAAACACACACAAAAATATCGCTTTACATTTGTGTCTGGAAATTGTGATTGATTGTGGCGCCATCTATCGATATATCTTGTGAAAGACATTGAATATTGTGTTTGTTTAAACACTGACCACTAGGGGACACAGGAGTCCATCACATCAATAACACCCTCTAACTCAGTCATCTGTGGCTGGAGAAATAAAAAATAAAAAACATAATAATAATAGTATTAGGATAAAATAAAATGAGACAATGTAAAACAAAATATTATAAAACAATAAAAAATGATCAAAAATGTCTGTCATAACAGACCACCTCTAAAAACGTAGACTCTTTGAAGAAAATATTTTAATGTATTATTATCAATATTTTACAGTATTAACAAAAAAGTTCCATGGCTAATTAGTAACGTTACTTTGATGAAAACTGTGGATACCATAAAGTTCGCGCTCGTGCTCGTCTTCTGTATGCGCGCGCCCGGAAGCCGCACTCCGTCACTTCCTCTCCACAGACAGGAGGGTGGGGACAAACAGCTGGTAAGTGATGCCGTGATCCGACCGCCTGCTCGGGCTGTTTTTCACACCAATAAACGCCTTTCCCGGAGCCACTACAGGTAGGACTCGTGTCCGTTAATCCCACGTTGAATAGAAACACTCACGCGCTTGTGTTTTGACGTGTTTGAGATGTTTTTGAATCCGTGTCAACGAAATGTGCTAACGGCTAACTGAGATTAGCTCTATAAATACTGATGATTTTTTTTTTTGTAAAATCATTTGAAACGTCAGTTCGCTGTTGTTAAAAAAGTGAAATGACAGGAGGACACCATTAAAGTGATATTTCAGCGACGTCAAGCGTGTATGTTTGGTCGTTAAGGGGTTTTGGTTCATCTGTATCAGCATTGAGCCGTTTAAATCTCATCAAATCTGCTGCAGTCTGACTGTCTGGTCTTAATTACTCCAATTAACGACGTGATTAACTGCCCACGGTGTCCCTAAATCACACTGGGGCTGAAGACCCTTCAACGCCTTGAAAAGGCACAGATACGGTTCACTGCAGCCCTTTAACACCCTAATGACAGCCGACGGGTGACACACACCCAAACCCCTGGCGGGTGTCATCGGCGATGGATTAGTGTTTTGGGGATTTGAAGTGTCAGAAACTGCTGGATTTAGTTTGAACTGCAGCATCGTGAAGATCAAATCAATGTATGATCATGTCATCAGTAATCAGACATCATAATCAGGCTCTACTGGTAGTTTAACGCTGTGTAACAGTTCTAACTTAGGTTTGGTTGGACTATTTACTGGAATGAGTGTTGAAGTGTGTCTTTTGTTGAATTTAATTGAATGTGTCGGAGAATCAGTCCGAGTGTCAGGAGGATCCAGATTCCTGTTGTGGTTCTAGAGGCTGTTGCTCAGAATATTTCAGGATATTTATACTCAACCGCACACCAGTGTAACCCTGTAAGAAGCTTAAATTACACTTTGCAGTGTGAAGTTAAATGTATTTGTCACCCACTAAGTGAAAAGGTATTTTCATTAGATTTTATTTGGTTGTTTTTAAAGGGACGGTTCACCCAAAAATGAAAATTCTGTCATTAATTACTCGCCCTCATGTCGTTCAAACTTCTTTGCAACACAAATAAAGATATTTTTGATGAAATTTGAGAACTTTCTGTCCCTCCGTTGACAGCTACGCAACTACCACTTTGCCGCTTTATAAAGATCATGAAGAGATTGTTAAACTAATCTGAATGAATTGAGTGGTTTAGTCCAGATTTTCCTCTTATCTCTTTATATGATGAACAGATTGAATTTAGTCTTCACATAAACATTGATCAGTGAACATAAACAAAAGCTTTTTTGAGAACATACCTCATTGGTTCAAGCTCAAACGCCCTGCGTAACACGAGAATGAACCTCACTGGTTCTTGCGGAAAATTTTTCATTTTTGGTTGAACTGTCCCTTTAAGGTGCTCTAGCAGTTGGTTTTATTTCAGGAGGACCCAAATTTTACAGTGTGTGCAGGCAGGGACCAAAAACAGGATCAGATTTGGTTATCTTGATCAATTGTTGAAATTTATAGGCTAATTAATTATGCTATTTTTTAAGCCAGTGATGCACCACACAATACACATGGTTGTGTCTGTGCAAACTATATTTATCATCTTATTGTTGGCTTTGACGGTTCCAAGAAGATACTTAGAACATCCGAAGGTTCTTTAAAGTAGAACAAGATTCTTTTAAAAATGTTCTTCAACGATTAATCGCATCCAAAATAAAAGTTTGTGTTTACGTAATATATGTGTGTGTGGTGTGTATAATTATTTTATATATATATAAATACACACACATGCATGTATATATTTAAGAAATATTTGGATGTATATACTTTTTAATTAATATAATGTATAAATATAAATTTTTGATATATATTAAGAACACAAATTTTCTTAAATATATACATGCATGTGTCTGTATTTGAAGAGTTCAGATGCAAACGCCTCTAAATGCCATTTGAAATTTTCTTCTTTAATGATGATTTTTATCAAACTTGTATATTTAATTTCAGTAATTTCACTTAAATAACAATTAATAGGTAATTATCATTGCCATTTAAGTGAAATCACTGAACTTCAATATACAAGCTTGATAAAAATTATCATTCTAGAAGAAAATTTCAAATGGCACTTAGAGGCTTTTGCATCTGAACTCTTCATTTATATATACAAAATAATTATACACACACCTCACACACATATATCATGTAAACACAAACTTTTATTTTGGATGTGATTAATCGCGATTAATCGTTGCCCATCCCTACTTCACACTAAGACATTTAAGAACTGTTGACTGAAAGGTTCTTTTGGGACCCAACCAAAAATGCTTCCTCTATGACATTGCTATTTTAAGAGTTTTACCTTTTGTAGTGTTTATGGTTTTTGAGAACGAGGGCATGTCACTCAACCTGACTTTCCATGGGAGAGTTGATTTGTAGTCTCAAAATGCTGTGTACTCTACATTTGACGTCAACATCTAAAAATGTGTAAAATATATCCCCCCTCCTGTTTTAGGTGTTGATAAACCTATTTTTTGTCACATTATTTGCCTTCAGCATGTGTTCCCTGCTCTCTATGATCAGTCAAAACAGACATGTGACCCACTGATGTATAGTATTCTCACAAACTAAACAAACAGCATTTTTACATGGTGCGATTGTGATCCTAATGGTTGGTTTCCACATTCTTCACCCTGGATTCCACAGAAGCCTGTGATTAGTTTGTTAGATTTCTGCGAGTAGGTCAATTACGCTCTATTCTGTGTGAACCTCATTGTGTGTTTGCAAGCAGGGTTTTCGCTAAGCCCTCTTTTGAAAAGTGCTGCGAGCAGACGGCCGGCCCCTCCGAGCTTTTGTATCCCGACTCTGGCAGTGGCTTCTCTGAGTTCATGTGGAATGTATTTCCTGTTTGGGTCCCTTCAGTTTTGGGAATGAAAGAAAAAGCATTACTCGCTGCTTAATGGATGCTGCAGCAGTACTAGTTATTTAAAGAAGTGTTTTCTCATGATGGCCTGGAACATTTTGTTTCTCCTGACCTGTTTACATGCAGGGATATTTTATAGTCGTCTAGGAGATTTTTCACTATGCATGAAAGGGATTTGACCTATTTATGTGTGTTATTTTATATATAAATATAAATTATTTTGATGGTTTAATTTAACTTGTAGGTTCATTAAGAACAAATGAAGAGTTCAGATGCAAAAGCCTCTAAATGCCATTTGAAATTTTCTTCTTTAATGATGAATTTTATCAAACTTTTATATTTAAGTTCAGTAATTACACTTAAATAACAATTAATAGGTAATTATCATTGCCATTTAAGTGAAATCATTGAACTTAAATATACAAGCTTGATAAAAATGACCATTATAGAAGAAAATTTCAAATGGCACTTAGAGGCTTTTGCATCTGAACTCTTCAAATATTCCCTTCGGACATCACTTTTGGCCACTATTGTGTTAAAGTTCCCTTATTGTACACCTTTCTGAAGTTTTATTTTTGGTTTTGGTGTCCTTAAGAGTATATAGTTGCGGTATAAGTATATTTTACAGCTCCTTTCTCAAGAGCTCTGCTAAGAACAGGTCGATTTTGGCCTGTCTAATTAATATTCATGAGCCTCTCTTCTGATTGGCCTGTTTACTGAGTGACCAAGCACCGGTAATTGGTCATGTATGCTGTGTCCTGACCTGCACAACCACCTCCTTACTCTCAGCGTTAATGTAAGAGGATTATAATTACCATTACATCAGTGCTGCACGCAGATTTAACGCAAATTTAAACTGTCTGTAAACATACTCTAAATCTCCAAAATATGTATGTTAATAGCTAGTTATGTTCGGAATTTTGAAACGCTTAACTGCTTTATAAAATGTAACGTTAGCAGACAGACACTGAATGCGGTAATCTATGTTACTATTGCTTTCCTACTGATGCAGTAAGTTGACGTGGTACAATTTCTTTCCTTTTTTTCTGTGAAAGGTGTACTTGTGGTAAATGTGCAAGGAACGCGAGAACAGAAGCTGTAAATGACGCCCAAGGTAAACTTGTAAAAGTATAAACTGTAGGGAGCAGTCTCTTGTGAAATGTGCAGAACAGACGGTTACGGTCGGACTAAATTGCTGTGGCGTTTTTGAATAAATAAACATTAGGCCATTAGTCCACACTAATACGTTGTCGTTTGAAAACGTATATTTTTCTCTCCGTTTTGGCCTTCTGTCCACACTGATACGCCGTTTTAAGTCAACAAAAACGTATTGTTTGGAAAACGCTCTCCAAAGTGGATAAATTTGAAAACGCCGTTTTCGCGTTGTAGTGTGGACGGTGAAACCGGAGGTATTTCAAAACGATGACGTAAGTTTAGTCATGTGATCCATGTAGTACCAATAGATATTCATGTTTATCGGTATTGTGCCTGTTATGTGTTATTCATTTTTACACTATTGCTAAAATATGTTACTTTCTATGTTACTATTCTTCATAGCACAGTACTGCAAAGATAACAGATAATGTAGTCTACTCACATTTGCTGTCCTGCGGCAAAACAGGAGAGCAGTTGCGTTTTAGACCAAACATATGGTGACTGAATGCGACCTGGACGCATCCGTGATGGTGAGATATTTTGCTAAATAAAATTATCCTGTTATTGTGCGATAACATTATTATTTATTTTCCCATCTGTATCATCTCAGTGAGCTTTTGTGAAGTTTCACGCATGCGCAGTAAAGTGAATTTATACGTTTCTCATCCACACTGAAACGTCGGAAAACACCTGAAAACGCTAGTGTGGGCGGGGAGCGTTTTTAAACGAAAACCCCGTTTTCAAATGTATCCGGATTAATGTGGATGTAGCCTTAGCCGCTGGTCTCTTATACTAATGTTAGTGTGGACTGAGTCCACTCCACACTACTGCGTTTTGTTAAAAAACGGAGAATTAAAACGAATACGGTCTCCGTCCACACCAGCGTTTTATCTGCGTATTAGAATTTACCTCCGTTCACATTAAAACGACTGAAAACGCAGATCACATGACCATTCACCAACACTGGGCATGCG